GTTTCCGAAAATTAAGCAAATTTTCGAACAGCGAAATTTTTTTTTTTTTTTTTCTTTACAGGCACGTGACATTATCGCAAGAGTTATCGCAGTGTAATGAGGCAGCAGGCGCCATCTGCCATGGTATAAATAATATAATAGGTTATATTATAATCGTTTCATATCCGGTTCCATATCGATTACAGCTAACTCTGATAAACTCGCGAGTTTCTTCTTGTCTATATTACACAAGACGTTGTAAAAGTGGGCTTTCTTTAACTAGAGATTCTTTGGACGCGATCGTTTTTGAACATAAAGAGGTACCACACACACATACATAAGAAGTATCTGAATTATATTTAATAATTAAAAAAAAAAAACAACTCACATTCTTTAACTTAAGTAAATTTTATTTTAATATATTCTTTTTATTAGAGATTTTATGTTATGTAAAGATATATATATTTAGCATCAAATGTTAAAAACTTTTGACGTGTTCTATGACGTCTGTTACTGATCGGTAAAGATCGAATTTTCTTAATAAACGTTTATCGGTACAAAACTATAATTAACTATAATAACGAGAATTAGCAAAGTTCCAATTGCGAGTCGCGCGAAAAGCGAAGAATGTTGCAACTTCCGCTCTGTTGATATTCGATTATTTTAATGAGGGGATAGAAATTATGTAACGATTTGAACTACTTTTGCACATTCACGGGTGTCGGATTGATATCCTTGCGGCGATTATAATCACCGCAGCTTTACATACGTAATGAGCGGGGTGACGTAAGCAATTCCGTCGAAGGCGATGCACGTACACGCACACACACCAAGTCCTTTAATACGAACCGAGAAAATGCATAAACAATTATTTAATAATTCAAGGCAGTCCTCTTTTGGTTTTTGTTCGCCGCGAACCGCGCTGACCGCGGAGCTATTAATCGGGAGCGTGTGTCGTATCGCCGTGACACGTGCTTCGACAGGTATGACATGGAGAAGAGTGACTGTGACGTAACGAGGTGAGCCTGCACCTATGGCAACTTAACTCATTAATCTTGCACTAGTGACGTGTTTAAAATGTGTGACTGATAACATGGATCGTTGAATCTCTTTTGTAGAAGACCATCATTTTTGCACGAGTATACCATATAAATAGACGAATTAATTAGATTTCTTTTCTTATTTTTAATTTTATCTTATATTATTAGTCGTCTGCCAATTTTTTGTATTGAAAAAGTAAAATTATAAATCAACAAGTATCATGTAATCCTGTATGAATTTTGTTTCTCCATTAATGTCTTTATCTTGGAATCGTATAAAACTTCTTCATTTAATACAACTTTTTATCTCAGTATATTTTTACTAATTAGAACAATTTCTAAAAATATTCCTATTTTTTCATAGCAATTTTTGAATATTACTTAAAGTTTTTTTTATTGCTGCAACGGCTTTGGTTAAATTCATATCTTTTTATACGCTGGACACGTGTATATCTCATCGAAGGATCTTAGACAATATATCTGATAATACAGCCAATCCATCTTAACTCTGTGATAACGAAATTTCTCCTTACTCAAAGAGAGAGAGAGAGAGATTTTACTTTTCTAAATATATTTTGTGACTTCACCATATGTATGTAGCAACTCCGTGTTTAATTCACAAATTTGTCTACGCCAAGAAACAGTGATAATATTTGTCACGATAGCACATAATATATTAAACAATATGAGCCTTGTGATCTGAACAAAAAATGCGATGTCATCATCATAACAAATAAAGGAGAAAAAGAACTATAATTAAAAAAAAATTCAATTATAAAAATCATACATATCATTTATCCTAAATTCACTTTATTCGAGATTACTCGTGAATGATATTCGTTAACGCGCTGCTGAGAGATTATCGCGTGTGTTCGAAAAAACGTCGATGTATGATCTCGAATCGTTCGATGCTGCGGAAGAGACGCGATTATCGCCGCGAGGAATTTCGATCCGTGGAAACGATCTCGCGCCGTGTCCCCGTTGAACGTCGCCGTCGCGCACGTGTGTATACATCGGAAAAAACGCTGCGCGGCGCGCGCAATGCGACGAGCGCGCGACGCGGTATCGGTCGCAGCTCGCAGTAGAGCGAACGCTTTCCGTCGGGGCGGACTTTGAGCGTTTGCCGTCGCGTCGCGGAAAAGAGCGCATGCGCGAGTGTCTTCGGCTCGGCGCGAAGAAAGCCGGAATTGAAAGCGGGCAAGAGGAACGAAAAACGCGCGACAACGGAAGAAAAAAAAAAGAGCGAAAAGAGATCGTCTCTTCGTTCCGGTTGATGGAATATTCGTCGGCATGGCGAACGCGCATGCGCGCATCTCCGACGCGTAAACAGGTGTTTTATTCGCGCCAGGCGCTGTCGTTGACAGGGTACGCGTGCCACCGACGAAGGGGCATCGCGATCGCCGCCGATCGGCGGTCAATCAATAGCAGGATTCTCTAAACATCTTAGCGACGGTTATCGTTGTCGTTAGCGAGCGATAGCCTATGAGAATTGCGCTTTTCATCAGAATTGTCCTTGCCATTGGCTGTCGCCATTTAACGATACCGAAAACTATCGGTAACAAGTTACTGAATCCCGCTACAGGTTAGGCTTGTCTCGCGCCCGTTCGTTTTCACCGACGACAACGTGGAGACGTCGGGAGCGACGGACCGGCCGCGCCGTCGACGACGTCGCGTTCGTGCGATAGCGAAGGCGCGTATACAGGGTGTTCTGTAGGTATCCTGTCCTTTTAGCAAGAAATTTTAAAGCAAACTGGCGAAACTTTTTTTTCGTCGAATTCTGCGTGAATTATTTGTTGGAAGAAAAATATTGTATACGATGGAAAAAATTAAATAAATTCTCGGATTGTGGCAGCATAAAGTTAATACTTATAATCCGTTTCGAAATCTTTCTCAGTTCGCTAAACACTGTCAACTGCAATCCGCCTTTGTTATCGTGAACGCATTCGTTTCGGTTGTCAAGTTTCTAAAGTCGTCCTGGTGACAAAACGTTATTCATACTATACACATACATATGATTGTATTTAATCTTCTTTACATGACCCGAATTGCAACAATAGAAACGCGCGATTGTTCGTTGTGTATTCGATGATTTTTGAAATAACGAGTTGATTTCTGTTCTTTGTGAATACGCCTCTGCACAAGCGTCATGATACTTTTTATGTATTAAGAGTTTGAAAGGACAAGAATCAGGGATATCACGAGTCTTAACTAGATGTATTAGTATCACTGAGAAAAAAAAGTCGTTGGCTTGACTAAATTCGTCCAACTAATTACTATTTCTTTGTATTTCTTTAATTGAAATATTTAAGTATTTAGGTCAAATATACGTCATGTTAGATTTAACTTTAACATATCGTATTTGATTTAAATATTTAAATATTTCAATTAAAGAAATACAAAGAAATAATAATTAGTTAGACAAATTTAGTCAAGTTAACAACTTTTTTTTCTCAGTGTATAAATGCTAAGCGAAAATCTATATCTAAAATTATGCTGTTAAGATTTCTAGTCCCTCACTGCAGTTATATCAAATAACATTAAAAGCTGCAAAGCACGTGATTTTTTTTTTTTGCAAAATATATTAAAATAAATTAATTTTTTTCATATACCGTGACTCAGAGGTTTGATAATAGATTGCTAAAATATACTGAAGATTATTTTCAGTTCGTAGATTAATTGATAGCAAAAATCTCGATTAATTGTCATCAAGAGCCATTCATTTCGTTAGAAAATATATGCACACGGAGAAAAAAAAAGATTAAATTATACATATGTGAATTTGCAATGCAGTATAATAATAGTTGAGTTAAGATGTATTGTTTCTTAAAATGTTTTTTTTTACCTGGTATATTTTTACATCACATTAAATGTTACGTTGCATCGCATAATCTCAGAATAGTCAGATGTTACATATTTCGTTAGGAAACATTACAAAACTTTCTTAGATGAATCGCAAGTTCATTCCTATTTATAACCCGACTATTTCGAACGTTTTAATTTTAACTTGTTTAATCGCGCCCTCTCAGTTGCTACTCTGTTTATACTCGTCGCGAGAAAAGAGAAAGAAAAGCATGATCTTATTCGTGCAACATCAGAATCATATCCAACGCGTATTATCAGTTACAAAAATTATTGTCTAAATTTAACACTCAAAAAAGTGGTATTGCAACTACAGCAAAAATTTTCTGGGTGCGCAAAATTAACTGAGGTACATAAATGATTAGCAAATACTGTGATATCGCATATGTTTCGCATTTAATCAATCTAAGTGACAGAGACAGAATTTATATCTGAACTGTTTGTGAAATTTAGAAAGAATGTTTTTCTGTGGTGCCTATCCATGTTAAGGCCAATCATACTTGTTATACGGTTTGGCTGTGGTACACAGAAAAGATTAGCGGCAAGAAACAAATGAATATATAATCCTCACGTCTAATATATTTGTATAACGCGCCCAATCTATCTAGCTCTTTTAAACAATTTCTCTCAATTTTTCGATGTTGCAGTTATAATTGGCAGTTATATTTCTCACAAAGATCGTTCTAGCTGTAGTATCGAAACTCATGTTTATCCAATGCAGTGATTAACATTTGGCAATGGGACCTAAATTTTCTAGAAGATATTATTAGAATATTGCTGCTATAAATTCTATATGTAACAGACAATATTCTAACAGATACAAAAAATAGCGATAAATTTTTGTTGTGTCACCTAGAAATCTACCTATATCAGCAAGACATTTTTTTGAGTGAAGAGTCTTATCACGAGCCGCCTTCAAATTCTACTTTAAATCCGGAATCGGGATCAATCTGATATGCGTGCGATTGATCGATCTTACTGAACGCACGCGAACAACGTATAAAAGACAAATTTAAATCACGCTTCGATGTGCTGCTTCTCATCCCTCCCACTCGTGATGCCGTTTAGTAATCTCGCCGAAAGCGAAGATTAAATGGCGACCAAGCACAGATAGCGTGAAGCCGCCGCGTCGGGATATTTTCAAAATAATCGGCGGTTGCTGATGAGGGTTGTGAGGTCCGAGAAGTACGATCATCGCAAAGTGTTCTCTCCCCCCCTTTTCTCTCGCTCTTTTTTTGACAAGCGTACTCGAAGGCAGACGTCTGTTTTCGGGCACGCGCGAGAGGCTATAAAAATACAATTTCCAATTCGGTGTCGATGCCGATATAACCGATCAGATTTTTATCGCTTCGCAGTTGATGGTGCAGCGAGGCGAGCGGCGGGGGCGGTCCCGACATGGAGGGCCACGACATTCAAGAATTAGCGGTGACCGCTAAGGACAGTGTAATCGTCAGAGGTGGATATCCGGCGCCCTATTCCTCACCGAATGGCGGTGAGTACTTTCATGAATATTTCGCAGCGTATATAATGAGCGTAATGTCGTTTCATTCGACGAGCGATTTACATGGATTAATGCGAAAGATGGTTCTTTCCCAATACTTGACATTTACGAAATTAGAAATGTTGATGAATATCATGTTTTATTTATCTGTCGTCTCTCTGTATACATGTCATTTACATGTGAAAAATTCTACTTTGAAGTTACGGATATATACACGTGTCGTAAGCTTTTTCGTTATTATAGCTTTCTGTTTACGAGTTTTATCAATACGTACACCTCGTGTTTTAATCCCGAGACGAAAAGCGCGTTCTCATCTACGTTTCGCACTGGATACGCGCCCAAAATACAAGAAGCTCTTTCGCTCAGCTTCGAAATGAATATTCAGCGCGCGTTTTGCGATAGCAATTTGGCAAACTTTCTATGCATCGTCTCGTTACGTCGTCGTAAATAGCTCATTGCGAAGGACGGTCGGGGGAAAGACGTCGGTGGGACGTGCGCGCGCTTAAAAATCGGGAAAGGCGGAGAAGCACGCGCCTGTTACGCAATCGGCCGCAGACACGCACATTCTATTCGACATTCCATGGGTAAAAATTTCGTGCGGGATGAACAAGCTGCGCTTGAGATAAGGAGGCTGCGTCGCGGCCGCAGATAACCCAGGGACCCTCTGGCTACGCAGCACCAAAATGGCAACCAGTCTGTTAATCGATCACGAATGCGCGTGCGAATCGCCGGCACATTAAACAAAAATCTTTTCATTATTCCATTGAGATTTTCTTAACGCGAGGGAGATTAATGTTGAATCTGATGAATGAAGATTCAGAACTCGTTGTCGAAGATTGATGCGCTCTAAAATGGCGATTGACTTGACAATCGATCGAAAAGGCTACATCGCCATCACTTTAGGAAAGAATCAAGCTACTAATCGTTGATCGACAAAATGATAATGAAATATAATTCACTGATAATTCTTGTATTCCGAAATAATGGCCTTTCCTCTTTCTTTCAAAGACAGATTTTTAGATTAAATGTGTGCGATCAGATACTTTTCAAAATGGCAACATGAAATATAATTCTTTTCGATTGACGTTGCATTTTATATCCTGGCAAAGTAAATTCAAGGCGAATGTTTATTCACTCAATAGACAGTATGTAAAATAAAAAAAGTTGTTCGTGCAAAATAATCGCTATTAAGAGGATGCCGGACCGTCCTGTTTTACCGGCCATAATAATTATATATTTGCTTAATATAAGGGTTTTGCGGTGTGTACGTGCAAAATAGGATACCTCTCCACTCGGAAATGCATGAAGGAATATAAGTGAACGTTTGAAAATGTATTTGAAAGCCTAGTGAGAAACATTTCGGTGTGCAAAATGTTGCATAGTAAAATCTTTTTTATAAAGCTTCTAAACTCACTTCTCGAAGTTCACTAATACTTTTTGATAAAATGCCGAGTGCGGAGTTCACTTGTTAGGCACGTGCAGGTTGCAGGTTTTTTATATTAAGTAAATGTTGACGGCAGAAGCCGATAACAAAACTGTAATTTTTTAATTTTTTTTCACTTTTCATATGAAATCATAAACCCCGCACTCCGTTATTATGTATACTTTAATTATGGAAAAGGATTTGTTGATATCTATAATCAACAAAAATATTTTGCAATCCTACTAATATTCGCATTCTGTCGGTATCCGGCATCCTCTTAAGTGTAATTTGATAATACTCGAGATTATTTCCATATAAAAAGGAACGAATTTATATGTGTGAGATCACTCGTTTTACAAGTTTTTTTATATTATATTTTTTCATGATTAATACAAACGATATTAAGTATCTGCACGCAAATATTGTTCATAAGTTGAGATAGTATACAAAAAATCTTATTTTAAGAGAGAGAAAAAGAAATTACAATATATTTTCTGATAAATTATACGGTTTTCTATATGTGAACTTTATGATAGAATCATTTTGAAAATTAATTTCAGCTTTGAACGAAATAAAATAAAATTTTATTTTATTCGAATTGTACTTGTGAAATAATTCTTTTATTATTACTGATTTATTATCCAATTTATTTGATTAACGGTAATTCATCGACGACGCATCCTCGTCAAAGCACGTGACATCCTCGCGTGGTTATTTCCATGATTCGCGACGGGAGCGAATATCACGTACGAAGAAGCGTGTTTACGTGAGATAACAGCCAAAGCAGTGGGAAAATATGGGAGAGACGCTCCCGCCAATACGTATTTTTTTAGATCACTTTTTAATCTGAAAAAAATTATCGTAGCGAATGGTATATCTTTATCGTAAACGCTTTTCTTTTTCTTCGTACCACGATAGAATTGACTCAGCATTTTTATCCGTGCGAGCTCTAATAGAACGGTAGAACCGTTTCGAAACCACGAGATTGCGCGTTAAATGAGTGCTAAATAAGCACTTATCTTTATGAGAAAAAAAAAATTACTTTACCTAAGCATATCCTCGGGCTCGAGTTAAACGTCTAAGAACGAAACGCGCCATCTTCGATGACCATGGATGGATCCTCGGACGGATTCCTCTTGTCGATGAATCGCGACACGTTTTGACTGCATGACAAATCGAAGGTTGCATCCTCGGCGTGTCGTATCGGCGACTTATAATAACGTTGTAAGCCAACCGTCGAAGGGGTCAGCCGATAACCCGGAGTAACAAGGAAAGAGCTCGCGACCGTCGGGTTCCCGGCCGGTCGCCGAGATCGTGTAACCCCGTCAATATTTGTCGCCCTCTAATCACACCTAACGATGGACAAAGGGAACTGCTCTAATATTTATGTGAGACGATTTTGCGAGTAGGGTTCGTTATAGAGCATGTCTAATGACGAAAGTCAGAACGCTAAGATGAAGAAGGTTCCACGGTTCCAAAGAAGGTTAGCGATTGTAATATGGCGTATTTCTTATCTGATACTAAAGAAATGATTGGAGTTTCAAGGTTTCATCAATGCAATTATATCGATTACGCGCTCGCAAAAAAATTCTGAATGCTGTCTGGATACATTTATCATTTGCTTGACTTTACATTGCCACTTATGCTACGTCAGGATGGCTATAGAGAGAACCATTATGAAATAATTTGATATTTTTCAGCACTCGTAGTCTAAATTATTTATAATCATTTCTAGTTATATACAATGAAGATGAAGTGTGAAATCTACCTTAAATGTACGGGTATTTTTTTCATCGTTTCTTTCTAATATTCTAATTTTTGTCAATAGTAATGCACTGATTGCATATATCCTATTAACGCGGTGAATGCCGAAGATGCGTTGTTGATGGTTGTCGACAACCGATGCTACACTACTATAATAATATGTGTTTCATTGATTTTTATGGTATAAAACGCAATCAACTATATTTATAAAGTTATACGTATTGTCAAATGTGATTAAAAGTAATCGGATAAAAATATTGCGAAGAAGAAGAATGATTAGAATAACAAATATGTATATTTGTTTCAGAAATTCTTATTGTTCTTTTTTACTTATTACAATAGCTATTACAATATAAAGAATTATAGTATTTTGCAAAATTGATTCGAATTCACGTATTGACATCAAAAAGTTTATAAAGTAGGACATTCTTTTCCCATCGTTCGCTTATCAGGTGTACATATATGTAAAAGGTAACAAATGTATATTTAAAATGAAAAACGCACCCGTTTAACCCTGATATTCAAAGCATCGATATTATAAGAAATGAAATAATGTTTACGCGTGATAAAGATTCGAACTCTACATATCAAAATACGTATATTTTATAATTATATATCTTTACTGTAAGTAATTATCTAACAGAACAGATAAACGAAATCCAACACCGATAAAAGATATTAATCCTAACGAGAAAAATAGTTAATCATTATTAAATCTCGCTATTGTTTTCAAAAGCTTCTTACTTTTTCTTCACTTTGTTATAGATAAATGTCAGAACCGATAAACACGTTATCGTTGATGATTAGATCGTTTTATCGCCAGATTATAAATACTTCCTACGAATGTAAAGTTGTAGACTAAAAAATTGTTATTAGCTCTTACCTCTACGTTGCAAAATATATATGTATATATGTGTGTAAGAAAAGATATCTTAAACAGTGTGATGAAACAGATTATCTTTCAACGGTAATAAACTTTCACGGATTTGTTTATCAAACACGTGCAAGCATATAAAAAAATATCATAAGATAAATCATTTTCTTCAAGTTATAAAAATTGAAACAGATAGATAAATTTCTTGCAAGTTTTTTGCGCATCACAGAACTGTGGAAACTTAGAGCAGTTATGTATATGCTTATACAAAATAGTATAAACATGTGTTTATTATTATTGCTAGTAAAATATTCTTACGAGGAATGCGAGAGAGAATACGGCTTATCAGAAATGTATGTAGTACAATTGTCACACATTTGAAACTGTCTTGTAAACAATTTGTGTGTGTGTGTGTTTTAATGTTATACATATTAAAAACCATTTTCTGTTTTAATCTTTTTCTTGTTTTAAACTTAACGTATTGAAATAATCATAAGTGAAAACATTACAATAATTGAGAAAACAATGTGTAATATTTTTTGTAAAATAATTAAATCGGATATATATGTATATATATAATAAATTAAATACTATTTTAAACTTTTTCAATGATAGATTAAAGCAGAAAACAAATACGAATTGAGATGAAATAAATATACGAAATATTGGATCGATTATGAAGATTATGATAATATATAATAATATATGATAATTAATTTTAATCATTTTAAAAAATACGTAAACAGGAAAACGAGAAAATTAAAAAAATTGTATGTTTTCCGTATAGTGCTCCGTAGTAGTTATTACAATAGAAATAGTATTGCGATATTATCAATATTATTAGCACATATTGCTCTAATACTATCGGTGAGGAATCAAATCATACAATATTTACTAGCATGAGAAAAATGGGACATTTTATAAGAACAT